CCCCCCACCCCACCCCCCCATCCCATGTAAAACTTTGATCTATAAATTATTTTTACAACCTATTTTTAATAAACCCGTGTTTCATCTCCCTGCTGAAGGACAGTAAGGAGTCTGGGGAGGAAAACACTCGCCGGGGGTGGGATACAAACCGGCATCTCGGGCAGCTCCCGTCGCAGCGGCGTGGGCAAACACCGGTGTTTCCCAATCCCAGCCTTTTCCGGTTCATTTCCTGTTTGATCTCTTTGCATGTCATGTCCCACTGAAAAGCAAACAAATGTCAGAGCGGTCGGCCCCGAGGCCACCTTGCCCCCAGCTGGTGCCAAAAATGCCTCTCCGGAGCTGGCCGCATCCCCCGAGACCCGCCGTGGCCATGTGTTGTCATCCCTATTTTTGGGAAACGCGTGTTGTGCTTGGATGAAGTCCCCAGTTTTATTATTTTATCAGGAGCTCAAAGGGTGAGCAGCCCTGGAGCTGGGTGGTGGAGTCTCGGGGCTGAGCTGCTGCTGCCTCCCGGCCGGGGGGAAAAATCAGCACCAAAATTAAGCCAAGTACCTGAGTCTTCTCCAACACTTTGACTAAACACTGAAATATGTGGTTCGTCTCCAGCGCGTGCTTCAGTGCTTCGTTAAGCCGGGGGGGCTTAGGCACGCGCTTGGAGGCAGCGTTATTTATGCTCAAGGGTTTTGCCGCACCGGGAGAGGAATCTGGCCTCTGGCTCGGAGACCACAAAGAGCCGAGTTTGCCCCGTCTGACCATCCATCCTTTATTCCCCTCAGTGTTATTTAGGCTCAGGGGTTTTGCCGCGCCGGGAGAGGAATCTGGCCTCTGGCTCGGAGACCACAAAGAGCCGAGTTTGCCCCGTCTGACCATCCATCCTTTATTCCCCCAAAACGCAGCTGCTACCTCCGCAGCAGCCCGGCCGGGGGAGCGGAGGGGGAGTTATCGGAGCGTGGGGTGGGTCTGGGCTGCGGTTCACGCCACTTCTGCATCCCGCATCCCGTGTGGGTGGGTGACGGTGGGCTCCGTGCCCCCTAGGGCAGTGCTGACCCCCGGCTCTCCTTGCAGGTGGACTGGCTGCAGCAGCAGGAGGTGAAGCGGCGGGTGAAGAGGCACGTCCGGAGCGAGCCCCATGCCCTGCCCTTCAATGACCCGGTGTGGCCCAACATGTGGTACCTGGTGTGTATCTCCCTGTCGCTGCCCCAGGATGAACCCGCTGCTTTACAGGGGGGGGAGTTCTTATTTTTGATCAAACACACCATCAATCTTTGCTCAGCCCGGCCAGAAATGAAACACCTTAATATCAGCAAACATGCTTGAAAGCAGGATTTAAAAATTGTGAATTAATACATGTAAGAGTCTAGTCTGAAGTGTTTCGCCATCGTTATCAGCCCCTCGTTGTGGACTGCGCAGCGAAGGCTCGGGAGCAGCGCCGCTGCGTTTTACCCATCCGAGAGCTGCAAGCATCTATGTGCAATACCATTTTTCTCCTGCCTGCTTCATCGATCTGTGTTTGACAGGGAAATTCATTGAAAATTAAGCTCAGGAAGGAAATGAGCACTTCAAACCCGAAGAGCCCGCAGTATTTGAAATGCAAGAGGGAAAGAATAATAGGGAGATAGCGTTTCCTGGATTAACTGCTGCTGGATGGCTTTGATCAGTGGAGTAAAGTTATAACAAATCGAGGAGTTATATGGCAGGGGGTGGGATGTAAATATATTTTCTGGTTGATTAAATGGTCTCCCAGCGTGGCTGCTCGCTGAGATGGGCCAAAATGGGGTTGCAGCCCTTTTGCAGCTGTGTTTCCCCCCCTGTAGCACTGCGGCGATAAAAGCAGCCGCTGCAGGTCGGAGATGAACGTCCTGGCAGCCTGGCAGAGGGGCTACACCGGCAAAAACGTGGTGGTCACCATCCTCGATGACGGCATAGAGAGGAACCACCCCGACCTCCTGCAGAACTACGTGAGCTGGGGCTGGACGGGCAGGGGCTGGTCCGCACGGTGAATCGGTGTAGGGAGAATTTCAGCGTGTAAACACATCTGCGTTGGCAGATTAGAAGTAAATGGTGTTTTTTAAAAGGTTGAAATGTTTTTAAGAAGGAAATGAGTGTATTAAACAAGAGGGTTTGAGGGAAACTCCCTTTGCAGCTCACCTCCCTCCGGCTCGCCAGGGCAGAGCCAAAAACCTGCATGAACCCTCTCAGCCCCAGCTCGAGCCCCAAACGGCGGCAGCAGCAGAGGGAATGGGCAGCAGAGAGACCCAGGTGGGGTTCGCAGGAGCTCTCCCTGTGGTAAACGGGATGTTTGCCCTGGGAAACACACAGGGCTGCAGCCCAAAACTATTTATCCTGAGCAAATAGTCAGAAACCAAGGGGAAAACGGCATTTTCTGCCTGGCTTGGTGCGGTCAAGCAGGACGCTGCTGCTGCTGAGGCTGCTCTGTCCCACGCTGTGCTGGTAAGTCACATCTGACGGTGGCACCACCTTTTCAGGACCCTCTTGCAAGCTATGACGTGAATGGGAACGACCATGACCCAACTCCGCGCTACGATGCCAGCAATGAGAATAAGTATGTGATGCTAATTGCCACGGAGGCGGTGTCTGCGTGGCTGGTGTGCGTGGGGGTCCCTGAGGCTTGGGTGTTCCCCCCCCAGAGGTGTCTCCCAGGTCTGTTGTGGTCCTTCCCCATCCCCAGCGCTGCAGAGGACGCTACGTTATGGGCTCGTTGCGTTTAGCACAAATCCAGCCCGCGGCGACCACGCTAATTGCTAACGAACCCTCGAATGATACGCGGGGACAGGGGGTTGGCTCCTCGCCGTGGTCGGGGATTAAATCACATGAGTCGGGCTGGGTGGCTCAGATGTCAAAACTTGGACACACTTTCTGGGCTTCAGTTAAAGCGGGATAGACGTGTGGTGGCATGTGTGGAAAGGGAATGGGAGTGCAAAGGGCAGGCTGCATTTGGGTGCAAAATGCAAAGAGCAAATTGCATTTAGATGCAAACAGTAAATTGCTTTTTGCATTGGTTTCCTTCATCCCCCAGCCCTTGCTGTGGGTTTTGGATAAGGGATCTCCAGCTCTCGGGGCACTTTCTTCCACTGCTCCAGCCTTGGGATGAGTTTCTGGGTGCTGGGTGGCCAGGGGGATCCTTCGCCACAGGACACCAGCTCACGGGGGATTTCTCTTTGCAGGCATGGCACTCGCTGTGCGGGGGAAGTGGCGGCAGCAGCAAACAACTCGTACTGCATCGTGGGCATCGCCTACAATGCGCGCATCGGAGGTGAGGCTGGCGCCCGAGGGACTGCGGCCACCCTGGCCGTGCTGAGGGGCTCCTGGGGTGGGCAGTGGGATGCTCTTCCCCAAAATATTGCTGGGAGAGAGCCTCCTCCTTGGTGCCCTGGCTGCAGGGAGACCCGGGGTGGGGAGCTTGGGGGATGATGGGTGATGTGGGGTGCAGGGGACCCCAGTGCCTTGTATTTTGGGGTGCAAACCTGCTTGGGTGCATCCTCACTGTGAGGATGCATGTGGATTGAGGATGTGGTCCCCAGAAGCCCACAGCTGCTCCTGGTGGGAGCTGCCCTTTTTGGGGTGGCCTCATTTGCTCTGGTTGGTGGCGCTGGTTTAGCTTCAGAGCTGAAATCACTCCTTCGTGAGATTAATGTCTGCAGATGAGCTGCTCGGAGCAGGGGGGTCTGGGAAGACCCCCAAAATAGCCTGGTGGGGAAGGAGCCAAGGATGCTGGGGGCCAGGGCTCCATGGGGCGGGGAGACCTCTGTATGGCCACTCAAATAACACGATGCATGGGGGGCAAAGGAATCTTCATTGCCAGACGGGATCCTGATGGCGATGAGCGTCACAGAGCTCGTTTCCACCAGCCTGGCTGGCTGTGGGGGGCTGGTTTGAGCCGGGGGTGCTCTGTCCATCCCAGGCTGGCACAGCAACCACCAGGGAGATGGGGGTTTTGGGGTGGGAGTGCATCACCCCATCTCCATGGCTGATAGGACTGTGTAGGGGACAACCGCCTGGAGCTGTGTCCTCATGGAGGGGACAGCCCCGGCAGGGCTGGAATGGGAGAGGGGCTTTTGCTGTGACCCCTCCTGCAAACCCACGTGGGGACACGTCGCCCCTGGGAGCACAGACCTGAGCACCCATGGGTGGGTTCAAGGCTTACATCCTTGTCTCGGCTTGTTCATCCTGGCTGTGCAAGAAGCTGCTTTCGTCAGAGTTGTGTCTGCATGGGGGTGCAGAGGGGCAGGGTTCTGGGCGGTGTCCCTGCACCAGGAAAAGCCCCTAAGGGAAGAAATAACCCCAGGGAAGGGAGAATGGGGGGGTGGTGGCATGTCCCCAGCCCTGTGTCCCCCACACATAGGATGGCTTCTTGCCTCTAAACCCAGCCCCAAGCACACACCCAGTCACCCAGCAGCACGGCAAAGCTCCCGGGTGGGTTTGAGGGAGTTTTGCATCCTGCAGGATCAGGCCATTGCCTTCCCGCTCCTTTTCAAGCCCATTTCCCTGCAGCAGCCGTGGAGACCAGTATTATTTGTTGACTTAATAACGACCTATAGGGCTCATTTTAATTTGCTTCCATTAATGAGTGCCTTGCCTCGGCATGGGGGTGGCAGTGCTGGGGAGGCCTCGAGTGAGACAAGGCGCCTGGCAGAGGGGCCGTGGGCTTCCCGTGACGCGAACAGGTGAAGGGGAGAAATAAAGTCTGTAGCCATATCCAGTTTGGGATCGCGGAGGAAAATACGCTATAGCTGCAGTGAGAGTGATTTTAGATGGATTACGCAAATAAAGCGGCGATTAATGAGCACAACTTGTTGGGGAAGCCTATTTGTCACACTCGGAGAGCTACCATCTAATTTTACTGGCTGGTCCTTAGTTTTTTTTCATTTGCTCTGGGCAAAACACATTGCTGCTCAAGAAACAAAACGGGCTCCTGCCATTCCTCCTCCTCCTTTCCCCTCTCCTCGCATCGAAGGCCGGTATTGCATGCGTGGCAAAAAGCTCATTTATTTTGCAGCATCCTTCTCTGCTCCCTCCTGCTCCCCGGAATGTAACGGGGGGGGTCCGTGCATCCTGGGTGGGTGGCATCGGGCTGGCTGATGAATGTGCCCACATTTAGCAAGCACAAAAACTCCGTCCCGAGTGCAGCTCGGACGCCGGGCTTGGCTTTTAGCCCCTTCTCCTCGTGTTTTCTTGTTAACGCAACAAGGAGAGGGAGTTTTTGGGAACTGCTCTGCTCCCTCATGTTGTATTTCTAAGCTTGGTTTTGGCTGGTAGAAGACAGATATTTGAGTTGACTGGTGTCCAGAGCACAGCTGCAGCTGGAATGACATCTGCCTGTGTTTGTTTGCTTTAAGACAAAATACATGTGGAAGGGGAAATGCATTTTTATAAACCGGACTCTCCCCGGCTGGCAAAGTACGATGCTGAAAGTTCCAGCATCTCTTTTCCTGCACGAGCTGTTTCTGGGCAGCCCTTTGCGGTGCCTGGCACCCTCTGCCCACCGAGCAGGGGGGAAATCCAGCAGGAAAAGGGCAGTGGGGAATGGAGCGGGTTGTAACTCTCGCAGAGTAGCAGTTGGAAGCTGGGGGTGGGCAGCAGTCCCCCAGCCAGTCGCTGCGGCTGGTACGCTCTGCCTGCAACCCTCCGCAGCTGGTGCCTGCCAGCATTCCCGGCTGGAAGTGAGGTTATCCAAGGTGGCATCATCCTGCCATGGGTTGGGGTCCTGGCTCTGATTTCAGCCATGTAAACCACAGCTGGGGCTTCTCCTGGGGCTTCTCTCCCCCACGGACACGGTTGGCACCAGCCGGGCGGTGATGGGGTTTGGGGATGGTCACGGTCAACCCCACTCGTGGGGAGAAGCTTCGTCCCACCAGCGTGCCCCATGCGGGGGGGCTGTGAGCATTCAGCAACCACCAAGATGTTCCAGGTGGAGAGCGGAGTTAGTGAAATAATTATAAGAGGGGAAAAAGTGGTTTTAGTCGGGGGAATTTGCCGCTGGGGAGCGCAGCACCGCTCCCACCGCCCTGTGATGGAGGGAAAATGAATTTCACCCCTCTCCCCTCCCATCGTTGCCACGAAGAGGGCAACACAGAAACCTTCCCAGCACAGCTCCGTGGTATCCCGCTGCCGGCCTTGCTGGCGTGCGAGGCCGGG